GGAAAGTAAGACGAAAGTAAGACGAAATTCAGACACGGTTTTGGAAAGTAAGACGAAAGTAAGACGAAATTCAGACACGGTTTTGGAAAGTAAGACGAAAGTAAGACGAAATTAAGACACGGTTTTGGAAAGTAAGACGAAAGCAAGACAAAATTAAGGCATGGCTTTGGAAAGTAAGACGAAAGTAAGACGAAATTCAGACACGGTTTTGGAAAGTAAGACGAAAGTAAGACGAAATTAAGACACCCCAATCTCATCTTGCCATTCCTCACACAGATACCGACCCTCCGAAGGCCTTGCAATTAAGTAAACAACCCGAGGTTCTTCAAGCTTGATCCATCTCCGAATCTTAACCGTCGACCCACCGAAGACCTTACAATTAAGTAAACAACCAAAATTTCTCAAGATCTGTCAGCGAAGCACAAACTGGCGGCAACAAATCGTACTTCTTTCCGGCTTTGAAAATTACCACAAACCCAGAACATGTTGTTGGGCCCTGCTCGCACAGCTCCGAAACTTTTGGAGTCGAGCTCGCCAGGCGCAGACAGCGCCTGGCCGACATCACTGCATGCTGCAGGTGGCTGTTCCTTTCGACTACCCCCTTCTAGCTTTTGACTAACTATTCCTGATGGGAAGACGAAAGCCGGACGAATTTAAGACACGGCTTGGAAAACTACGAGGAAAGTAAGGCAAAATTAAGGCATGTTTTTGGACAGTAAGACGAAAGTAAGACGAATTTAAGGCATTGTTTTGGAAAGCAAGACGAAAATAAGACGAACTTAAGGCAGGGTTTTGGAGAGTAAGACGAAAGTAAGACGAAATCGCAGAATGGTTTGGAAACTAAGACGAAAGCAAGACGAACTTAAGGCACGGTTTTGGAAAGTAAGACGAAATTAAGACACGTTTTTGGAAAGTAAGACGAAAGTAAGACGAAATTCAGACACGGTTTGGGAAAGTAAGACGAAAGTAAGACGAAATTCAGACACGGTTTTGGAAAGTAAGACGAAAGTAAGACGAAATTAAGGCATGGTTTGGAAAGTAAGACGAAAGTAAGACGAAATTCAGACACGGTTTTGGAAAGTAAGACGAAAGTAAGACGAAATTAAGACACCCCAGTCTCATCTTGCCATTCCTCACACAGATACCGACCCTCCGAAGGCCTTGCAATTAAGTAAACAACACGAGGTTCTTCAAGATTGATCCATCTCCGAATCTTAACCGTCGACCCACCGAAGACCTTACAATTAAGTAAACAACCAAATCTTTCTCAAGATCTGTCAGCGAAGCACAAACTGGTGGCAACAAATCGTACTTCTTTCCGGCTTTGAAAATTACCACAAACCCAGAACATGTTGTTGGGCCCTGCTCGCACAGCTCCGAAACTTTTGGAGTCGAGCTCGCCAGGCGTAGACAGCGCCTGGCCGACATCACTGCATGCTGCAGGTGGCTGTTCCTTTCGACTACCCCCTTCTAGCTTTTGACTAACTAATCCTGATGAGAAGACGAAAGCCGGACGAAGTTAAGACACGGCTTGGAAAACTACGAGGAAAGTAAGGCAAAATTAAGGCATGGTTTTGGACAGTAAGACGAAAGTAAGACGAAATTAAGGCATTGTTTTGGAAAGCAAGACGAAAATAAGACGAACTTCAGACACGGTTTTGGAAAGTAAGACGAAATTAAGGCAGGGTTTTGGAAAGTAAGACGAAAGTAAGACGAAATTAAGACACGCTTTTGGAAAGTAAGACGAAAGTAAGACGAAATTAAGACACGGTTTTGGAAAGTAAGACGAAAGTAAGACGAAATTAAGGCATGGTTTTGGAAAGTAAGACGAAAGTAAGACGAAATTCAGACACGGTTTTGGAAAGTAAGACGAAAGTAAGACGAAATTAAGACACCCCAATCTCATCTTGCCATTCCTCACACAGATACCGACCCTCCGAAGGCCTTGCAATTAAGTAAACAACACGAGGTTCTTCAAGATTGATCCATCTCCGAATCTTAACCGTCGACCCACCGAAGATCTTATAATTAAGTAAACATCCCAAATTTTCTCAAGATCTGTCAGCGAGCACAAACTGGTGGCAACAAATCGTACTTCTTTCCGGCTTTGAAAATTACCACAAACCCAGAAAATGTTGTTGGGCCCTGCTCGCACAGCTCCGAAACTTTTGGAGTCGAGCTCGCCAGGCGTAGACAGCGCCTGGCCGACATCACTGCATGCTGCAGGTGGCTGTTCCTTTCGACTACCCCCTTCTAGCTTTTGACTAACTCATCCTGATGGGAAGACGAAACCCGGACGAATTTAAGACACGGCTTGGAAAACTACGAGGAAAGTAAGGCAAAATTAAGGCATGGTTTTGGACAGTAAGACGAAAGTAAGACGAAATTAAGGCATTGTTTTGGAAAGCAAGACGAAAATAAGACGAACTTAAGGCAGGGTTTTGGAGAGTAAGACGAAAGTAAGACGAAATCGCAGAATGGTTTGGAAACTAAGACGAAAGCAAGACGAACTTAAGGCACGGTTTTGGAAAGTAAGACGAAATTAAGACAAGGTCTTGAAACTGAGACGAAAGTAAGACGAAATTCAGACACGGTTTGGGAAAGTAAGACGAAAGTAAGACGAAATTCAGACACGGTTTTGGAAAGTAAGACGGAAGTAAGACGAAATTAAGACACACCAATCTCATCTTGCCATTCCTCACACAGATACCGACCCTCCGAAGGCCTTGCAATTAAGTAAACAACACGAGGTTCTTCAAGATTGATCCATCTCCGAATCTTAACCGTCGACCCACCGAAGACCTTACAATTAAGTAAACAACCAAATTTTTCTCAAGATCTGTCAGCGAGCACAAACTGGTGGCAACAAATCGTACTTCTTTCCGGCTTTGAAAATTACCACAAACCCAGAAAATGTTGTTGGGCCCTGCTCGCACAGCTCCTTACCGTCGAGCTCGCCAGGCGTAGACAGCGCCTGGCCGACATCACTGCATGCTGCAGGTGGCTGTTCCTTTCGACTACCCCCTTCTAGCTTTTGACTAGCTAATCCTGATGGGAAGACGAAAGCCGGACGAATTTAAGACACGGCTTGGAAAACTACGAGGAAAGTAAGGCCAAATTAAGGCCTGGTTTTGGACAGTAAGACGAAAGTAAGACGAAATTAAGGCATTGTTTTGGAAAGCAAGACGAAAATACGACGAACTTAAGGCAGGGTTTTGGAGAGTAAGACGAAAGTAAGACGAAATCGCAGAATTGTTTGGAAACTAAGACGAAAGCAAGACGAACTTCAGACACGGTTTCGCAAAGTAAGACGAAATTAGGACAAGGTCTTGAAACTGAGACGAAAGTAAGACGAACTTAAGGCATGGTTTTGGAAAGTAAGACGAAAGTAAGACAAAATTAAGGCATGGTTTTGCAAAGTAAGACGAAAGTAAGACGAAATTCAGACACGGTTTTGGAAAGTAAGACGAAAGTAAGACGAAATTAAGACACCCCAATCTCATCTTGCCATTCCTCACACAGATACCGACCCTCCGAAGGCCTTGCAATTAAGTAAACAACACGAGGTTCTTCAAGATTGATCCATCTCCGAATCTTAACTGTCGACCCACCGAAGACCTTACAATTAAGTAAACAACCCAAATTTTCTCAAGATCTGTCAGCGAAGCACAAACTGGTGGCAACAAATCGTACTTCTTTCCGGCTTTGAAAATTGCCACAAACCCAGAAAATGTTGTTGGGCTCTGCTCGCACAGCTCCTTAACGTCGAGCTCGCCAGGCGTAGACAGCGCCTGGCCGACATCACTGCATGCTGCAGGTGGCTGTTCCTTTCGACTACCCCCTCCAGCTTTTGACTAACTAATCCTGATGGGAAGACGAAAGCCGGACGAATTTAAGACACGGCTTGGAAAACTACGAGGAAATTGTAGGTATCAAAAACAAAACTGCATTGTGAGCATCGAATGTATACGAGACATCAGAATCTATAAAACAAAGGAGTAATCAAAAAAACAGATTCCCTCATAAATTCCGCGCACTGCTTTGTTTTACAGCTAGGCGATGGGACGTCTGCCCAAACCGGGACGGTTGCAGTGAGAACACAGAGCAGGACTGATGCACACAACTGCATCAAAGGTCACACCATCGCACACGACTGCAATGAGTGCCCGAGTGACAGACTTCCCCCCGAGACAAACCTCTTTGGGTGGGTGGGTGGGAACAAAGAAATCTTGATGGCCAAACACAATGGCCAGCTACCTTGACTTGAGATGGAGCGAGCGACGCATCACATGCTTTGTCTGAAACTCACAATACAGCCAGACTCTGGCACTGTGACAAACAAAGACAAGCAAGAAAATTAGCTCCCGAAAATGCCAACAATGCAGACGTGTTGTTTATGCAAAACTCATAAACACACTTTATGTTTTTGAGACCTACAAAACCCTATCTGCAAGCAGAGAGGTAGCTTGTAGGTATCAAAAACAAAACTGCATTGTGAGCATCGAATGTATACGAGACATCAGAATCTATAAAACAAAGGAGTAATCAAAAAAACAGATTCCCTCATAAATTCCGCGCACTGCTTTGTTTTACAGCTAGGCGATGGGACGTCTGCCCAAACCGGGACGGTTGCAGTGAGAACACAGAGCAGGACTGATGCACACAACTGCATCAAAGGTCACACCATCGCACACGACTGCAATGAGTGCCCGAGTGACAGACTTCCCACCGCAACGTCATCGGGCCGATTTGAGCAGGTCCTGGACGAGGGATAGCAGATCACAATGGACCCTGTGAACGCCTTCAAGCTCTGTGAAGTCTCCCCTGGAGGGGGCATCTGAAATGTTGGCTTCCGAACTCACACGCTCGAACCAGAGAGAGGATACGCATGCCTCTTCACATGACACAAGCGCATCAAGCAAAGGTTCGAGACAATCGCACGAGCTCTTACAGGAAATGAAGGACCCGAGTGCGCCATCGTTATCAAGGAAAGCCAACACCTCTCTGCCCTGAATATCGTTCTTGAAAAGCTGCAAGGCAGCAATCAAGGCCAATGCTTCAAGGACATAGATGGGATTTTGGGCCGTGTCGACTCCCAACAGCGCAGCACATCACCTGTGCACTCAACCCCATAACACGCCTTGATACAAGCCGTTGAGTCAACTAGCACCCCCCCTAAACCCGAGTAACCACCCGGCTCAAAGCATGCGTCGGTGTACAAGAAAACTGTGTCATCGAGCACAGCGCGCACGGTTCTTGGCGGGCCATTAACCACACGGTCCCTGATGAATCGCAGTGAGTCAGCCATCTGCGGATCGATCCTTCCGGGACGGTCGGACTTAATGCGCGACCCAACAACCTTCAGGTGCTTGTAACAACCCCTTCCGAAGATCTGGCCTTCAGCGAAAACGAGTCGCCCCCTGAGAGCGGTCAGTTCCTTGATGCTGAAAGTACCCTTGTCAAGGAGCGCTGTTATGGTCTCAGTGAGCTCAGCTTTTCGCTCATCGGTGTTGCTGACCCTAACCAACATGCATGACCCCACATCTATTACAACCCCAAGGACCTTTGCAGCAGTCGCGAACTCTGCCTCCTTTTCCTCGGAAATGCCCCAGCCAAGCAAAGCGAAAAACGATGACAACACGAGGTCACAGTGCTTAGACACACTTGCCTCACAAGTGACCAGATAATCATCGAAGTACACGGACCAATGTAGCCACAGCAGGACCGTGCCCGCGTACCACAACGCATGCGAGGTCCGGCAAAAGCCTGTGACAGATGCGGACCCTCCAAAAGGGAGGACTGAAGAACTAAACACCTCAACTTTACCTGTGGCGGGATTGCCAACACACAAGTACCCATCAAGAACCCCTTCAGAGGACAAGGCCAGCTGCTTGAAGGCCTTCCTCAGGTCTTTGGACTTAAGCACGGGGTTATTGGGCACAGGGATCGTCGCCCGGTGTTGGAACCTCCAAGTAAGTGACCTGCAGATGGTGTCAAGCCCATGTGGTGTCACTGCCTCCGTTCGAGACGTAGTCGAGTTGATAAGCGACTCACTCAGGTCGTCAATCGGCCTGACCTTCCCCGACTGGAAAACGGCAAATCTCCTGGACACCGAGGCGCGATCGTCAAGTGTAGATGGGTCCAATGGGCCCTGCAACCAACCCTTGTCCCTTTCCTCGAGCGTTATCTCGTATAGGCGCGAGGCATGCTCATCGCGCAGGCCCTCAGCTGCCCCTAGGAGAATGCCCTGCCTAGTGTGCTTTGCAGTTCGGCGGACCTCGTCGGGTGTGAGGGTGGCAGGAACGGTTTTGGACCTGAACACACCTGCCTCTGGAATGTGCCCCATGAGATCGAAGCCGCTGGCAATCTGGTCAACAATGCCAACGTCACAGTAACCGGCGTCTTGTAGCATCTCTTTGAGGAGAAGCAACCGCTTGCCTTGAAGAACAACCGAGACGTGCGCCGGCATGTTCTCATGCAGCCGCCTTTCACTATCCCAGAGCTCCTGGGCGCGCAGCGTCCACTTGCGAAGTACCGCTGTCCTGTCCTGAGCCAAACTATGGGCCGAGCACCTCGCCTCCTTGTCAATGGCTTCCTTGACACACAAGGGGACGACACAAGCTTGCAGCGGGTGCTCCCTGGCAGCAGCCTCTTCAACGAACTCCTTAGGGGACCACGGTAAGCCATACACGGCAGAGGCAGCAAACACAGGTTCAGCCTCAACTGGACTGCTCCAATGGGAAGGGGGCTGAAAGCCCATTCCACACAAGGCATCAAGATGAGACTTGTCAAAGTGCGGGTCCTTACACGTATACAAGACAACAGCCCACCTGTCACCTTGCCACTCCTCAGTTGCATGCAGCACAGACCTTGCGTCAAAGGTGGCAAACCTGGCATGGTTGTCAACATAGAACCCACGATGTTCCACTCCTGTCGCGTCGCTGAGGAGGTCGTCACCGCCACCACCTGCGAGGAAAAGGCGGCCAGCAGTAAAACTTCCCAGCGTCATCGAGTGGTTCAAGGAGCCTTCACCATTGGAGATATCCCTGTGTGGCAACGCAAGCTCGTTATGCGACACGGCAATCGAGGTCCAAGTGGCATGCGGCAACAAGGCCTTCGCAAAAGAGTTGATGACACCAACAGCTTTCTCTCGACCTTTAGTGTACGCTGTGAGGCCCGACCTTGAACCATGGTTGTATGCCCCAAAGACAAAATACCTAGACCCCTTAGTACCACTCCCCGAAGCCTTGAGGACCCCTGGACGACGGGAGGAGAGGTCCTCGGAGCAAGCCTCGCCCAGGACCTTCAGTAGGGCCCGGGCTTGATCATCAGACAGGCTGGCAGACATCGGGAACGGAGGGGCCGACTGAGCTTCAAGTCCAGCACGATCGAGTTCGCTCTGACCGACATCCCCCAAAGGCAAAGTCAGAGCAAGACGGCGAGAACCTCTCGGAAGCAGAGCCACAGACGGCGACGATTTGACCTGGGGCGGCAGCGAGACAGCCTCGGGCAGCTTGGCGGGCAAGTCAAGGGTAGAGGCGGGACCCACTAGGGTAACCACAAGCTTAAACTCGGGAACTAGGGGAGGCAGGCGCTTGGAACGCGGTTGGCGCTGAGCGGCCGCCGCTTGGGCAGCAGCAGACACAGGGTGCACGTCGAGACCCTGGAGGTCGCGAGGGCGGGGCTGTGCACCGTGATGCAAGAGCTCAGCGGAGAGACACTCAGACCAAGCCCTGCAAAGCTGAGGGGGGTAAGCAGAGTTCGAAGCGGACGCCCAAACCCCAGTGGCAGGGTCCCGCCCCCAAGGAGCATGAACATGGTCTTTGGAGCACAACTTGCCTAAGCCTTGCAGGTGAGTGCCAAGGTGTTGCAGCTGCGTGTACTTGTCACGACCGCTGCCAAACATACAATGATGCCAGAAGGTGCAGACAAGATCGGGCAACGCACGAACAGGAGCCCACTGTGAGGTTTGCCACAGATAGGATCGCCCAGGGTTCTCAGCAGATGGCAAAATGCCAGCGTGAAAGCAAAATTGGAACAGCCAAGCCGAATACGCATACAAATCGTTTGCTGCATCCACAAGGGACTGCGACGCAGCAGGCAAAGACGGCAAGCCATCTGGAAAAAGGTCAGAACGTAATTGTGGAGGGTCGGGACCAGTACGCCGACGACGATCCCTGGCACGGGATGCCGTGTTGTACGGGGGGGCCAAATGGATTGCAACAACGGAATCCAGGCGCAAGATAGCCTCGAGGGCATCTCTGCCAGCAGGATCGGATAAATCAAGCCGCAGGAGTGGACCAAGCACAGCTCTCCGCACATGCAAGTCAACCCCAAAACTATCACCCAACCCAATCCTACGAACCGCAGCAGTCAACGCGGCTGTCCCGGCGAAAATTTCGACAAAAACTAGTGATGATAGGGGCCGGCCCCGCGCTCTAGCCCGAAGCCGAGCGGCAAAGGTCGTCGAGGCAGGCCCAACGGGCTGCGGCACTCACCGGCCCGGGTGCTGACACAAGGAGTGCTTCTGATAGCACCCGGGCATCATGCACACGTGAAGACCACGGGGACAATCGTCGCCGTTAGGGCAGCCCTTTGCCAAGTTATAACCCCAACAGATGCGCCGGCCCTCAGGCGTCTTGCTATGCATACCCTGAAGAGCGGAAGGGGCCTTGGTGTAAGACTGGGACTGGGAATCCTTGCGAGTACCAGCCGGACGGGGGGCTGCGGGCAACGGTGGAGGGGGGGCAGAGCTTCCTCCTGCGGCACGTGGCGGTGCACTACCAGCACGTTTCCTTTTGCGCCTGGTGGAAGGGCCAGGAGCCCCGACTGAGGAAGCAACTGGCTCAGCTGACGTGCCTCGCGCTGGACGCGGAACGCCACCAGAGGACCCCGGCATAGGCAGGAGGTGGAACATAACCTGGTGCTGCGCCTGCAAACGCTGAAAGGCCTCGTCCATGGGCAACAGGCCCGCAGGGTCCTTGCGCAGCGTGGACAAAGTCTCGGCCATGTACTGAAAGGCAGCCCTGTCGGCACGCAGGAGCTGCTCATGCGTAGCAGCCCTAAAGCCTGGGGGCGGGTGCATTTGCAGCTGGTTCAGCAACGTGCGGGACCAGTTCTCAGCATGCTCAAAGGAGGCGAGGCCCACGAGATCCAGTGCCAAGCTGCGCCGGGTCAGGGCCTGTGCCAGGGCCAAATCTGAGGACAGGACACAAGCATCACGAACCGGAGCACTGCGAACCTGAAGATGTGACGTCGCATCAACAACAAGTTCCTTCGGGGACCGCTCCTGGGCTACCTCAGCTGAAGCTTCAAGTAGGAGATGGCGTTCTCCTGAAACATACGGAAAACAAGCTGATACGCAGAATGACTCACCTCGAGAGCGCCAGACAACTCGAGACCTCGAAGCCTGGCTTTCTGATCCCTAAGGCGAGTCGAAATCTCTTCCAATGGCATGTCCTTTTTACGATCTGCGTCACCACCTTCAACTTGCAACTTGAGGTTGGCCAAGGCCATGGTCTGGCTCTCAAAGATGAGGCGACGCAAAGAAGCAAGCACACCAGCGGAAACCTCCGCTCGATCCTCCTCATCTTCAGCCGTAGCTGGCGGCGCCACAAGTGCACGAAGCTCCTCTTCAGTAGCCTGCGAGCCCGGCGTGCCCACAGCAAAAGCCGCCTTATTCAGAGTATCAACCCCACGGGCAAGCAGAATGGCCACTGTTGAGGCCGGGAGGCCATGCTCCTTTGCGCGCGTCTCGAAAGTGGCAGTGGAATCCAAAATCGATGCCATGGGACCTACCTGTGCCGTACAAGTTGCAGCCGAAAACTAAGCACAGACGACAAGCATACTGAAAGCACAAAGCGTCGGGAACAACTCAGCGTGCACGGCATGCAGATCTTTCTTCACTCGTGAGCTGCAGGTAAACGGTAAGGACTGCCCGCAGCAGGGAAGCACTGGCAGGCACTGACACTGCCGCCACAATCCCACGGTATACAATAGAGGAAAGCGCACCACACACCAGCCCGGACGGCACTAAGGCTAGTGGCAGGCACCGACACTGCCGCCACGCAAACCCCATGCGTCTCGAAGAAACGTGGTATGCTGCGCACCAACCGCGGTGAAAACTTGCCAACGCCTGGCCAACAGCACAAAACCTGAGCACACAACTGCCCAGCACTGCTGCTTAAGGCTCAACGCGCTGCCTCTTGACTAAAGCCTCAAGCTGCAAGGACAACTGCTCGGGTGTTCTAATGTGTCGGCCACGATCACACTGATTACAACGAGACGACTCAAGAACACAGTGATTCGCAGTCATTCTAAACACACTGGTGATCGAGCGGCCGCACACAAACACACCTCCGATTGCAGATGTCGAACTCGCTGCCAAGTGCAAGGTACCAGTCTTCGAATGCCTCCATACTGTGCATCCCTCACGCCACGCTGGAGGTGGTCGAAGGGCCGGGGCATTCGCCTGGGGATCCTCGCCAGCTTCACTGCTCGAATCCGACGAGGATGAGGAAGAACTCTCGTCTGTGCTGTCAATCCCACCTTGAAGCGGGGGACCTGAACTAGCGGGGACATCGCATGGAAGATCCGACTCAGGGTCAGCACAAGAAGGAATGGGGCCATCCAAATCGTCACCATCAAGAGGTCCCACGGCATCTTCAGTGCTCGCTTCCAGCCGAACTCGTGAGCTTGCTACGCCATCTGAAGAGCCAGCCGGGCCGAAAACTTCTGCAGGCACACCAGGCAGGTTACTTCCCGGTCAGAATGGTGACCCAGCACGAGGCGGTCGGCCTCAGAAGCTCCAAATTTTGCAAGCATGGCTAAGAGGGTCGCCTTCATCGAATGCGCACCTGGTGGCGACCAAGGAAAAAGCGGCCCAACCAGGCGTTCCAAAAGAGAGCGCAGCCAGCATCGTGCGTCCTTCGTAACACAAGGCTCATGGCTCCACCCGCCCTCGACGGAGGGTAGCTGCAGGAGTGCAACAGGATCTTGCCCAATGGCCTGAAGGGGGCAGCCGCGTGTCTCAGAGACCTTCAACCACTCGACAGCCCATGGGGTCGCGCCCACACCAAAAACAGGTGCCACCAGTGGCATAGCGCCATGTTTCCTGCGCAGCTTATGCGAGTGACTTTGTAGTTCCACGTAGCCACCACAAACTGTGCCACCATCATTAATGAAATCTTGAAGGAACTGCGACACAGAAATGACATCACCCCAGCGTGCCCGCGCGTAAGTGCAAAAGAGGAAGCACCCACACGCGTACCTGTCCTCAATACGTGCCGATGCATCTCGAAGAAAAGCCTCAAGAAGCAGCAGCTCCTGTACCGTCAATGCACGGGCCTGCTTTCGCTGAGGTCGATCCTGGCGAGCACCCCGAAGGATACCACGTGCCCACGGAGTGTCCAATGTAGATGGCTCAACTGTAACTCCCAGAACATGCTTCGCAAAGTTGACGACTTCAAAGGCAGCCTCGATTGCCGTTGGGGAGACCTTTTGTTTGAGCAACACCTTCAGGTGAACTCGGAAAAAATGGGCTGTAATAGGAAGAGGTTCCTCACAGCCATCCTCAACAAGATTCCGGAGGTACTTCCTGAGCTGGCGCAGCCGTGCTTCAAGGGTCGTATTGGCCTTCCCAGCGAGTGTCTCTGAGACGATGGCCAACTGCTCGACGTACGATGTGGCTGCCTCAAGCATTGGCCCCAAAGTCGACCCACGCGGGTATCTCGTAAGGACATCAAGAAAGCCTTTACATACCAATTCACGTCTATCCTCAGGTGTACATCTCTTTGCCGAGAAAACCATCAGCCTGGAAACCGACATGTAGACAGCTTGATGGACTGGAAATTCAGGCCCACGTGCTTGCGTGTCCACAGCAGGTGCCCGAGCAAGATCAAGTTCATTCGAGGTCACAACCATCCGCGGAAGCACAGGCGATGGGCTCCCAAATATGTCTCTGAAGGGCGCGATATCCCATGGCATCACTAAGTCACCAGTCATGCTGACTGTGGCCATAGCCTCAGCAGCCAGTGCATGGAGTGGGGACCTTGCTGGAGGATCCATGGCAGTTTCTTAAAAGTCCAAAGGCCTTACAACATACAACCGCTGCTCGCATACCAGGCACAGGCAGAGTGTCTGTCGTGGTTAAAGACTCAATCTTAGTGCACAAGTAACCCAAAGCAAGGACCAAAATGCTGGGATTAAGGTGGAAAAAGGGAGCAGGGTGCGAAAAGAACCTAGAGGAAAACTCACCATTGAACCACAGGCCCTGCAGGACATCCAAAGGTTGCTCGAAAACACGACCCAGCAAGCCGAAAGTCCATGTGGCAGCTCCGACCTCCCCCAGAACCGAGCTGAAACATGTGGTACCCTTTTAACCCGCTGCTCAAAGAGTATGTTGACAAGTGGCCCCAAAAACCGCGCCTGAAAAAACAGCGCCTGAACAATGGGCCACACAGTGGAGGGTGCAAGAGGAGGAAACTATCAATGCCTCTCAAGGGCCTGCAAGCGCCTGAGGACAGATCGGCGCGGACTGCGATCACTTGATGTCGTACCCAATGCGTCCTCAAGAGCAGAGACGCGACCTTCAAGGGCCTGCAGCATCGGTGGTACGTCTGCCAAGGACAGTGAAGACGAAAAGGGCCCAAAAGGGGGGCAAGCACCAACAGGCACCGAGGTCGAAGGGACACAAATGAGCGAGTCCGTGGGGGCATCAACCACAGAGTGCAAGAATGAGATGGACTCTGCCGACAGAGAAGAGAAACGCCCTGCGTCACGGCAGAGCAGAGCCAGGCGCTGCAAGTCGGCGAGGGTGCATTCCTGCAATGCGGACCCCGAAAGTAAAACCATACGACCAACTAAGCAACAGAGCCTATCACGAGAAACAGTGAAAGAGGGTGGTGGCGCAGACCCAGCGGGGTTGATGAAAGCGAACTCACCCTCCAAGCCATGAGGGTCTGGCGCATCACTGTCTGAGAGAGGCCCCTCGTGAGGAATGTCGGGAGTGCTGGTATCACGGACTGCCCAGGTGCAAGGAAGCAGGATGGCCAAAACGACTGCAAAGGAACGTAATGGCATGGCACTCAAATGGCACACAAGAATGCTGCAAATGCAAGGATGCCACAGGTAAAGCCACACAGACAGATAGTGCAGTCACGGCACCGGCCACCAGGGATGGCAGCTGGGGATGCAGGCAAAAGGGAAAGGCGCTGCCTAGCAGCTGCAGCACGAAGGCGCACAGGCGCAGCAACCATGCACCGACACAGTCAGTGAACTACTGCTCTTCGTGCGGCGATGGCCCTGGACAGCCACCTACGCACGGAACTGCACGCGCAACACCCCTTGTTAAGTGAGGGCCTGGTAGACACGAACCTGTTTGGGGCCACAGAAGGTTCAAGCAAAACCAAGCCCAACAAAGAAATCTTGATGGCCAAACACAATGGCCAGCTACCTTGACTTGAGATGGAGCGAGCGACGCATCACATGCTTTGTCTGAAACTCACAATACAGCCAGACTCTGGCACTGTGACAAACAAAGACAAGCAAGAAAATTAGCTCCCGAAAATGCCAACAATGCAGACGTGTTGTTTATGCAAAACTCATAAACACACTTTATGTTTTTGAGACCTACAAAACCCTATCTGCAAGCAGAGAGGTAGCGTAAAGCAAAATTAAGGCATGGTTTTGGACAGTAAGACGAAAGTAAGACGAAATTAAGGCATTGTTTTGGAAAGCAAGACGAAAATAAGACGAACTTAAGGCAGGGTTTTGGAGAGTAAGACGAAAGTAAGACGAAATCGCAGAATGGTTTGGAAGCTAAGACGAAAGCAAGACGAACTTCAGACACGGTTTCGCAAAGTAAGACGAAATTAGGACAAGGTCTTGAAACTGAGACGAAAGTAAGACGAACTTCAGGCACGGTTTTGCAAAGTAAGACGAAAGTAAGACGAAATTAAGGCATGGTTTTGCAAAGTAAGACGAAAGTAAGACGAAATTCAGACACGGTTTTGGAAAGTAAGACGAAAGTAAGACGAAATTAAGACACCCCAATCTCATCTTGCCATTCCTCACACAGATACCGACCCTCCGAAGGCCTTGCAATTAAGTAAACAACACAAAGGTTCTTCAAGATTGATCCATCTCCGAATCTTAACCGTCGACCCACCGAAGACCTTACAATTAAGTAAACAACCAAAATTTTCTCAAGATCTGTCAGCGAAGCACAAACTGGTGGCAACAAATCGTACTTCTTGCCGGCGTTGAAAATTTGCACGAACCCAGAAAATGTTGTTGGGCCCTGCTCGCACAGCTCCGAAACTTCTGGAGTCGAGCTCGCCAGGCATAGACGGTGCCTGGCCGACATCACTGCATGCTGCAGGTGGCTGTTCCTTTCGACTACCCCCTTCTAGCTTTTGACTAACTAATCCTGATGGGAAGACGAAAGCCGGACGAATTTAAGACACGGCTTGGAAAACTACGAGGAAAGTAAGGCAAAATTAAGGCATGGTTTTGGACAGTAAGACGAAAGTAAGACGAAATTAAGGCATTGTTTTGGAAAGCAAGACGAAAATAAGACGAACTTAAGGCAGGGTTTTGGAGAATCAGACGAAAGTAAGACGAAATCGCAGAATGGTTTGGAAACTAAGACGAAAGCAAGACGAACTTCAGACACGGTTTCGCAAAGTAAGACGAAATTATGACACGGTTTTGGAAAGTAAGACGAAAGTAAGACGAAATTAAGGCATGGTTTTGGAAAGTAAGACGAAAGTAAGACGAAATTCAGACACGGTTTTGGAAAGTAAGACGGAAGTAAGACGAAATTAAGACACCCCAATCTCATCTTGCCATTCCTCACACAGATACCGACCCTCCGAAGGCCTTGCAATTAAGTAAACAACACGAGGTTCTTCAAGATTGATCCATCTCCGAATCTTAACCGTCGACCCACCGAAGACCTTACAATTAAGTAAACAACCAAAATTTTCTCAAGATCTGTCAGCGAAGCACAAACTGGCGGCAACAAATCGTACTTCTTTCCGGCTTTGAAAATTACCACAAACCCAGAAAATGTTGTTGGGCCCTGCTCGCACAGCTCCGAAACTTTTGGAGTCGAGCTCGCCAGGCGTAGACAGCGCCTGGCCGACATCACTGCATGCTGCAGGTGGCTGTTCCTTTCGACTACCCCCTTCTAGCTTTTGACTTACTAATCCTGATGGGAAGACGAAAGCCGGACGAATTTAAGACACGGCTTGGAAAACTACGAGGAAAGTAAGGCAAAATTAAGGCATGGTTTTGGACAGTAAGACGAAAGTAAGACGAAATTAAGGCATTGTTTTGGAAAGCAAGACGAAAATAAGACGAACTTAAGGCAGGGTTTTGGAGAGTAAGACGAAAGTAAGACGAAATCGCAGAATGGTTTGGAAACTAAGACGAAAGCAAGACGAACTTCAGACACGGTTTCGCAAAGTAAGACGAAATTATGACACGGTTTTGGAAAGTAAGACGAAAGTAAGACGAAATTAAGGCATGGTTTTGGAAAGTAAGACGAAAGTAAGACGAAATTCAGACACGGTTTTGGAAAGTAAGACGAAAGTAAGACGAAATTAAGACACACCAATCTCATCTTGCCATTCCTCACACAGATACCGACCCTCCGAAGGCCTTGCAATTAAGTAAACAACACGAGGTTCTTCAAGATTGATCCATCTCCGAATCTTAGCCGTCGACCCACTGAAGACCTTACAATCAAGTAAACAACCAAAATTTTCTCAAGATCTGTCAGCGAAGCACAAACTGGCGGCAACAAATCGTACTTCTTTCCGGCTTTGAAAACTACCACAAACCCAGAAAATGTTGTTGGGCCCTGCTCGCACAGCTCTGAAACTTTTGGAGTCGAGCTCGCCAGGCGTAGACAGCGCCTGGCCGACATCACTGCATGACTGCAGGTGGCTGTTCCTTTCGACTACCCCCTTCTAGCTTTTGACTAACTAATCCTGATGGGAAGACGAAAGCCGGACGAATTTAAGACACGGCTTGGAAAACTACGAGGAAAGTAAGGCAAAATGAAGGCATGGTTTTGGACAGTAAGACGAAAGTAAGACGAAATTAAGGCATTGTTTTGGAAAGCCAGACGAAAATAAGACGAACTTAAGGCAGGGTTTTGGAGAGTAAGACGAAAGTCAGACGAAATCGCAGAATGGTTTGGAAACTAAGACGAAAGCAAGACGAACTTAAGGCACGGTTTTGAACAGTAAGACGAAATTAAGACAAGGTCTTGAAACTGAGACGAAAGTAAGACGAAATTAAGGCATGGTTTTGGAAAGTAAGACGAAAGTAAGACGAAATTCAGACACGGTTTTGGAAAGTAAGACGAAAGTAAGACGAAATTAAGACACCCCAATCTCATCTTGCCATTCCTCACACAGATACCGACCCTCCGAAGGCCTTGCAATTAAGTAAACAACACGAGGTTCTTCAAGATTGATCCATCTCCGAATCTTAACCGTCGACCCACCGAAGACCTTACAATTAAGTAAACAACCAAAATTTTCTCAAGATCTGTCAGCGAAGCACAAACTGGCGGCAACAAATCGTACTTCTTTCCGGCTTTGAAAATTACCACAAACCCAGAAAATGTTGTTGGGCCCTGCTCGCACAGCTCCGAAACTTTTGGAGTCGAGCTCGCCAGGCGTAGACAGCGCCTGGCCGACATCACTGCATGCTGCAGGTGGCTGTTCCTTTCGACTACCCCCTTCTAGCTTTTGACTAACTCATCCTGATGGGAAGACGAAAGCCGGACGAATTTAAGACACGGCTTGGAAAACTACGAGGAAAGTAAGGCAAAATTAAGGCATGGTTTTGGACAGTAAGACGAAAGTAAGACGAAATTAAGGCATTGTTTTGGAAAGCAAGACGAAAATAAGACGAACTTAAGGCAGGGTTTTGGGGAGTAAGACGAAAGTCAGACGAAATCGCAGAATGGTTTGGAAACTAAGGCGAAAGCAAGACGAACTTAAGGCACGGTTTTGGAAAGTAAGACGAAATTAAGACAAGGTCTTGAAACT